ACCTAACTATGCAAAACTATGGAGGAACAGGTTTGGCATTGAAGGTGCTGACGAAGCTGTAAAGAGTTTGAGGTGTATCTGGATATCCCATATACATGCTGATCATCACACTGGCCTTGCAAGAGTACTTGCTCTCAGACGCAAATTGCTAAAAGAGGTCCCTCACGACCCTTTAATTGTCGTTGGCCCTCGGCAGCTCAAGAGGTTTCTTGATGCATATCAACGCCTCGAGGATCTAGATATGCAATTCCTTGATTGTAGGGATACTACCGAAGTTTCATTGAAGGCTTTTGAGTCACATGAAGGGTATGTTTGAGTCACATGCATAGCTAAGAAAAGTTATTTTTTACGCTTCGTAATACCTTGAGAAATGCAAAGAAAAATGAAATATGTTTTCCCTTCTGTGTTTTTTGTCCCTTAGTGTTTCCCGGGTTCCAAATGAGCCCGAAATGAATGCAGAAAATGGGAATGCAACGGGTGGGCTAAAACACGGAGAGATTGGTTCTAACTTGTTTGCAAAAGGGAGCCAAATGCAGAGTCTTTGGAAGAGGCCAGGCAGTCCGATGAACTCGTCTTTCACCTTCCAAATTTTAAGGAACCTAAGTGAGGTACTAAACGAAGCAGGATTAGAAGCCTTGATTAGTTTCCCTGTTATCCATTGCTCCCAAGCTTATGGAGTTGTACTTAGAGCTGCCGATAGAACTAATGACGCCGGGAAAAGGGTACCCGGATGGAAGATTGTTTACTCCGGCGACACTCGGCCCTGTAAGGATCTCATTGAAGCTTCTCGTGGAGCGACCGTTCTTATACATGAGGTGAGTCACATTTTCAATTCAAAAATGCTTCAGGATCCTAAACCCTAAACCCTAAACGCCAAACCCAGGCTTTTAGAGAGACACACAGACACTCAATGTATGTGGGTCGACAGACATTGAGTTTCTGTGTGTCTGTAAAAGTCTTGGTGTACCCATAGCATTGGCTTTATGTTTTGTTTTTCAGGCTACATTTGAAGATGGGATGGTGGAGGAGGCAATGAAGAGAAACCACAGCACGACAAAGGAGGCGGTGGAGACGGGTAACGCGGCGGGTGCGTACCGCGTGATCCTCACACACTTCAGCCAAAGGTACCCCAAGATCCCGGTTTTCTCCGGCGAATCCCACATGCACAAGAGGACATGCATAGCTTTTGACATGATGAGTGTGAACGCCGCGGATCTTCCCCTCCTTCCGGCCGTCCTTCCGCACCTCAAACTCATGTTTCGCGATGAACTGGTCGAGGACGAAGAAGAAGATGCTGATGTGGCAGCTGATTTTGCTTGAGCATCTTTTTTTTTCTTGTGTTTGATTAGTTCTTCTCGAGGTATAAATGCGCATTCCATTTTAGTTGTTTGCTTTTAGTATAGTTTTTTGGCATTTGCATTGTTTGATGGAAATGGTTCTATCCATTTTGTTTTGGGAATGATTTTTTTTTAAAGAGAAATATGGTAAATATGAGCTTCAATTGCCAAATAACTTGCCTTTTTATTAGCTTTGTCCGGAAATGATCTTCATATTTGACTTTTCTTGATTAAAGTTTGTAAATTTAATGTGATCGATGCATTTAAAGTTTAAACATTCTAAAAAAATATATGGGTCAGTCTGGGTTATGTTAATTTTTAGTTTGTTCTTGGCTTTATTTATGTTGCATTATTTTTTTATTTTTTTAAAACATATTTATGGTGTTTTATATTTAAAAACAAAACAAGAAATGTATTTGTGGCCACAATTAGATGGTTTTGTACCAAAAACAAATTCAATGCATAAATTTAAAAACCGAAAGTTCCAATGTAGTTGATTATTTTAGTTCATAAATAAATTTAATCACACGGTTTACTTTATCATAATTTTAATACAAGAGTTTCTCTATTTCGTTTTATCGATCTTGTTTCGATTTACATTTTTAATTTAATTTGTAAAAATATTGGTGCAAAATTAAAAGATAAAATCATAACTTACGCCAACATTTTTATAATACAAGAAATAGATTAATTATATGATTTTAGCAAATATATATAAAAAATAAAAAAAGATGATGTCCTTCAATTGAACTAATCATGTGGATAATAAACGAGACCAATAGAATAGAAGATAGAGTTAACAATCATCAAGGTATCAATAAGTAATCTTGAAAAACGTTATGTAACTGCATTTAAACTTTTGTATTTTATTTAAAATACTAACACTAACTGATTAAAAACGTTATTATGAAGCTATGTAAAAAGTGCATTAATATCAACTCAATGTCTTTGTCATTTTGTCATATTTTTGGATTGATTTTAACTTTTAATTACTCCGAATGTCACTGCTCTTTTCGTCCAAAAATTATCTTCTCGTTCACTATTTACAGGGTTAAACTTTATCACTTTGTTGGCCTATTATCCTTAACCATTTGATAAAATAATATAGTTATGTCATCTCTAGTTTAGTAAATATTTTGATGTAGTTTTTTAATATGTAATTTTTATTTTTTTAATTTTAAACAATTTTTCATATAAATTAATTTGAAAATAATTTCAATTAAACATCGTAACGCATAACGAGAAGATAATTTTTGAACGGAGGAAGTATATCCTGATGTTGACACGTGCACAATTTAGAATGACCTGTTGTAGGACACGTGGCAAGCCCAAAGCCACAAATCTAGGGGATTCACGGGCTTATCATAGCCAAACGGGCGGCCCCTTTTAGTTCACGAGCTCATCTATTTTTAACTTTTTTTTTGGATTAGTTTGATAACTTTTTTGTTCATTATACCGAGTATTTAAATTTGGAAAAATTATCCAAAATAATTCCAACTTTACCCAGTCTTTCAAAAATAATCTCACCTTTCACTGTGATGCATAATAATCCTAACTTTACTGAAATTTGCCAATTTTGGGTCGCCGTTAAATTTCTAACGGAGGGTTAACGGAAATTCCTGTTTTAGGTAACAAAATGAAAGTTGGGATTATTTTTTGATGAATTTTCATTTTTTTTATTTTTTTTAAACTTTTCATTTAAATTTTTTAAATTACTTTCTACCTCCATCATCATTTCTTTTTCCTTTTTTAAAGATTAGTCTTTGTTTAAAAAATAAAAATAATAGATATAAAAAATGAAAAAATGAGAAATATAAATAAAATGATACAAAAATAATAAAATAAATAAGGTAATCAATGGAGACTAACTTGAAATTGGTAAAAGTAAAATAAAAATATATTGGTGGGTTTTAATATTTTACGCATTATACAAAGTATTAACATATCACTTCTTATTTTTTAGAAAAAATTATCTACAATAATTCCAACTTTATCAGAGGGCTTGTTCTTTTAAAAAATAAGTAGTACATTAAGACTTCGTATAGCGTGTAAAATGTTAAAACCCACCACTCCGTATATATTTATTTTATTTCTTACCAGTTTCTGTTTAATTTCTATTGATTACATTATTTATTTGATTAATTTTGTATGGTTTTAGTTATTTTTCTCATTTTCATTATTTTTTATATCTATTTTTTTCTAAGGTAAAAATAATATTTAAAAAAGAAAAAGAAATGGAGGTTGAAAGAAATTCAAAAAATTTAAATAAAAATTTCAAAAAAAATTAAAAAACAAAAATTCATCAAAAACAATCTCAACTTTCATTTTGTTGCCTAAAACGGGCATTTCCGTTAACCCTCCGCTTACAAATTTAACGGCGACTCAAAATTGGCAGATTTCAGTAAAGTTGAGATTATTATGAATCACAGTGAAAGGTGGGATTATTTTTGAAAGACCGGATAAAGTTGGGATTATTTTGGGTAATTTTTCTTTTAAATTTTAATCACAAGTTATGAAAAAATAAATGGAATTTTTATTTTCAGATCATTTTATATAAAAAATGGTGTAAAATTTAAAACTAAAAATTGCATATTGTAAAAAACAAAATCAAAATATCTACAACACTAGAAGTGATATGATTATACTCGTATTATTTTATCAAGTGAGTAACGAAAATCAGTCAATAAAGTGAATAAAATTTGACCATATAAATAGTAAACAAGAAGTTTGTTTATTTGCGGAAGGAGTATCAATTTTTTTAATAGAGTACCGTATGTGCTCTAATCGAGACTCGTGTGACGCATGTCTAGGAGCATGAATCCATTGATTGATTAGGATCAAAGTATTAGTAGAACATAAGTCTAATGGACACTCTACTTTTAGTTCCTCTCTTCTAAACTAATTGTCTTCTCACCTATTCTCATTGATTATAGTGAAATTTGTACTAAATAGGACTAAAACATAATGACTTTCCTAATGTAGGACTTAAACTTTTTTATTCCGTAAATAGGATTTAATAATGACCTAGTGGGAAGAATAATGTCCAGTAATGATGGACATTTATTTGAATAATAACTTCTTGATAATGACCAAAGTCCTTTTTTGGAAAATAAAAACATATGGTCCTATATTTGGAAAGTCATTATGTTTTAGTCCTATTTAAGTAAATTTCTTTTGATTATATAATTTGTTAAAATTATGTAATATAATCATGACACATCTTATTTTATAGAATACTTGATTTCATTTTTTAATGTATTAATTTTATTTTAAAAAATTTATACTCCATATCATTTTTCAAATAAATTAAATTACAAATAAACTCAGATCAGCTATTACAAAAGAACAATAAATTTGGGAGGGAGAGAATTTATTGTAGGTTACAACATTGTCAACATGTACATCACATTATTTTTTATTTTTGAATTGAGAGCTCCATACATATGGTATCTTCATTCTATATATATACACGGACTACAATTATTAATTATATTCCTCCAAGAAATCATGGCAATAATAATTTGAGCATAATAGACGTACATTTGATTGCTAGCTCAAACAAGCATGAAAAGTCTCCATTCTCTTCTTCTTCTTCTTCCCCTACTCATTCTCTCCACACCTCACCAGGCGTCCACGTCATCACCACCATCCTCCTCCATGGCAAAAAACCCTAACAAGAGTAATAATACAATAATCAACCAAACAGCAATCTACGACCTCTCCAAACAGCTGTGCTGGAAGTGCCTGGGAGACTCCATGCAGTTCCTGTTCCAGCACAACCTGGTCCGGGCCTCCAAGTGGGAGGCCCCGTTGGTGTGGGACCCGCGCTTGGAGGACCACGCCAGGTGGTGGGCCGGGCAGAGGAGGGCGGACTGCCGCCTGGCGCACTCCTTCCCCGAGGGGAGGTTCGAGCTCGGGGAGAACATTTTCTGGGGCAGCGGGCAGGGGTGGACCGCGGGCGACGCGGTCAGGGCCTGGGCAGCCGAGGAGGCGGACTACGACTACGCGACCAACGCGTGCGCGCAAGGCCGGGTCTGCGGGCATTACACTCAGATCGTGTGGAGGAAGAGTTGGAGGGTCGGGTGCGTTAGGGCTGTTTGTGACGACGGTGATGTGTTCGTGACGTGTAATTATTACCCGCCTGGGAATTATGTTGGAGAGAGGCCATATTAGACTCTGTTAATTTGGAAATTGGCACTTTGGTGTTGGGTAATTAACCACATTTTCAAGATCTTTACTAAAATTTGAACTAAATAGGATTAAATCATAAGTCATTATCTAATATAAGACTTAAATTTTTTTATTCTCTAAATAGTACTCCCTCCGTCCCAGAAAATCTTTCTCCTTTCTTTTTTCATCCGTCCCAAAAAACACTTCTCATTTCTATTAAAAAGTCACTTTTATCCTTTACCTTTTCATACCCTACCTATCACATCATACCTTTTTACTAATAATCTATCTATCAAATCTTACTTTTACTCATTAAAGGACATCTTTGGAAATTCAATACCAAAATATACTCCCCTTAAATCCCTCTTCAAAATTAAAACTCCCGTGTTTTCCAGGACGGAGGGAGTATTTAATAATTAATATCTAGTGAGAGAAACAATATTCAGTGATGGTGAACATTTATTGAATAATGACTAAAGGATAATGATCAATGGTCATACATTGGAAATAAAGACATATAGTCCTATATTAAAGAAGTTATTATGTTTTAGTCTTATTTAGATAAATTTTCTTTGATATTTTAAAGTTGTTATATAATGGTAACAATGATTATCTAAAACGTTATCTCTCGTTAAACATGTTAATCCCAAACAAAGATAAAACGTTTGACAAATTTCAATCTTCCTCGGTAGATAAAATCACATAGACAGACCCATTTTCATGTATTACTTGTTGGTAATTTAGTGTCCGTTGCCATCCCTATCCCCCACCTCCTCCTTGTCCAGTAAAAAAAGATAAAAAAATTTATAAAAATAAGTAAATAAAAATAAAAAAAAAATATAGTGAAAAAAGGGGTGGTGTACATTTGGGTACACCTTTTAGTGTACCCCTAGCATCGTTCTTTGAAAACATTGGTTATGGTGGACCCGATTTATTTTTGCCCGCCTGAACCCGTTATTTCTCTTCTTCCTTCCCGAAAAAGCTCCATCACCACCTTTTTCCCGCGTCTGAGAAGAGAACAATCTCCATCTCCAAACGCACCTCCATCCCCCACATTCTCAGACGCGCAGAGAATTTCTGGTGTTGCAGGAAGAGAATCCGAAGCAGAACGCCATGGAAAAACCTCAGATTCGAGCCAGTTCATTCACCGGCTGCGTCTCTCCTCGACGCAACTATCTCCCTCCTCCGTCATCATTCCTCTGGTTCGACCTCTCTCTCTCTCTCTCTCTCTCTCTCTCTCTCTCTATCTCTGCGTACGATGTCTAATTGCAAGGTCGATTTCGAATTGAAATTGTAGATAGTGAATCTGTAAATTAAGCGTCCCGTAGCTTTTCCGATGAAACTTTGGTATATGCGAAGCGGATTAGAATTTCGCTTGAGCATCGGAAGCTTATCTGACACCATACACTTTATTTGTCCGTCGTGATTCAGCTTCTGATTGATACTGGTTTCCCTTTCATTTTCGCTTCTCTGGTTTCTAGATTATATCGTAACTGGTGAATCTATGGTAGGAAGTTAGGTTTAGTTCATTTCAGATTAATTTGAAACATCGACCTGCTTATTTGAATCTCTTTGTTGGAGAAGCATATCAGTGACTTTCTTCGATTTCTTACTAGTTCTATCATGGAGGAGTGTGCCTCGAAGTCTGCCAATTCGAGAGATCTCCAGGTTTATAGCACTGGGGACGTCAACTCAAAATTGATCAAGCTCTATGCTTCAAAGCAAGGTATACATCAAAGACCTCGTAACTCGCTAGTGATCAGTTGTGAAATTAAATTTTAAAAAAATCCTGTGCATTATTTTGATCTGATAATCTTGTGCATTCATTATGCAGATGGAAGCCAGTCTTACATTGTCCAGCAGCTGGAGAAGCATATCAGTGGCTTCCTTTTATTTCTTACTAGTTTTATCATCGAGGAGTGTGTCTTGAAGGCTGACAGTTTGAGAGATCTTCAGGTTCCCAACACTGGAGGCGTCAGTGCAAAATGGATCAAGCTGTATGCTTCAGCACAAGGTATACAACAAAGACCCTATAACTAGTGATCAGTGGTGAAATTGAACTTTTGGAAAATCTTTGGAATCTGATAATATTGTGCATACATTTCGCAGATGGAAGCCACTCTTACACGTTGCAGCAGCTGGAGAAGCATATTGGTGACTTTCTTCTATTTCTTACTAGTTTTTTCATTGAGAAGTGTGTCTTGAAGTCTGCCTGTTTGAGAGATATTCAGGTTCCCAGCACTGGATTCGTCAACACGAAGTGGATTAAGCTCTATGCTTCAGCGCAAGGTGTACAGCAAAGACCTATTACTAGTGATCAGTTATAAAATCTTGGATATCATTTTGATGTGATAATTTTATATTTTTATGCATTCATTTTGCAGATGGAACCCACTCTTACATGTTCCAGCAGCTGAAGAAGCATATCAGTGACTTTCTTTTATTTTTTACTAGATTTGTCATGGAGGAATGTGTCTCGAATTCTGCCTGTTTGAGAGATCTTCAGGTTCCCAGCACTGGAGTCGCCAACACAAAGTTTGATAAGCTCTATGCTTCAGCACCAGGTATACAGTAAAGACCTATAACTAGTGGTCAGTGGTAAAATTGAACTTTGGAAAACTCATGGAAATAATTTTGATGTGATAATTTTATGCATTCATTTTGCAGATGGAACCCGCCCTTACATGTTCCAGCAGCTGGAGAAGCATATCAGTGACTTTCTTCTATTTCTTACTAGTTTTAGTGTGGAGGAGCGTGTCTCGCAGTCTGCCTGTTTGAGAGATCTTCAGGTTCCCAGCAGTGGAGTCGCCAACACGAAATGGACCATGATCTGTGCCTCACCACAAGGTATACAGCAAAGACCCTTTAACTAGTGATCAGTGGTGAAAATGAACTTTGGAAAATTCTGGATATCATTTTGATCTCATAAATTTGGTGCGTTCATTTTGCAGATGGAAGCGACTCTTACATGTTCCAGCAACCAAACACATGTGGCTTTCCAATTACTTTGCTGGCAGTATATGAACCACCCGAAGAAATTGGAAACATAAATGTACGGGAGTTGAATCAAAATCGGCAGCAAAATGACGACTATGAAGAATTTAATGGAGACAACCCCAAGTTTAGGGTTTATAATGTCAGAAACTGGGTGGAGTGTTCTCGCAACCAGTCTTTGAGGGTCATTGGAGCAAATTTTGTATGTAGACCCTCGGCTTGGTTATGTATACCTTGATCTTAAAACTGGAGCAAAGATTTATCTTCCTCCCTACGATGATGTTGAGATTGGCTCAGATGTGATGGGAACCTGGACCGGGACTCCAGGTTCTACTGGTCACTGCATCACCTTGATCTTAGATCAATTTTCTATCAACAATCATTTCATTAGGGCACGCCAACATACCGAAACAAATGGGTGGATTTGTGTAGACTTAGAGTTCAAAATCGTAGCTGACTTGCCTGATGATAGTGAAGACCAATATCCATTGTATGCTATGATCCTTCACGGAGAGAGGCTCCATATACTCTGTGGTTTTCAGTACGCTTGCTTCACTTATCATGTTATGGATTTTCAGTACGATCTCACAGATGAATTCGACCTATTATATACCCATTTGTCTTTTGTTGAAGATGGAGAAGATTTATACCTATTCATGATTGCGCCACAAGGTCTGCACAAAATAATGCATGTTGATACTAAGGCGCAGACCCTGAATCATCTCCCTGACCATGTCTTCCCTCTTGATAAAGTTGTTTACACAGCAAATATGTTCGGAGGGAAGGTTCTTCCGGCTGCATCCCTTCTATTTTTTTTTTAAATTTTGATTTGCTCTATTCACATTTGAGCACGTTTAATCTTCTGCTATAGCATCATATTTCAGTGTGTTGATTTACAAACTATCCCAGCTCAAAATTCTGTATCAATCTGACAGCCGAATTCCTCCCAAGTCCTTGCATGACTTTAAAGCATCATTTCGGGCTCAAATTACTATTTTTGTGAAAGCAAAAACTTCTCATTCATTCAAAATGGCATTACAAAATCTGGTGAAATAACAAACCAGACGCCAATCTCCACCCTAACCCTCTTAGCCAACTCATGAGCCACCAGATTAGATGATGATCGAAGAACAAACAACAAAGAAACATTTCTAGAAAAAAAAATGACAGAATTAAAAAAAAATAAAAATTACATACTCCGGACTATATCAAAAGATTTACAGCATTATAAGCAACATGACTATATTATTTTATTAAATAACTAATGAAAATTAGAAAAAATAAATAAATAAAATTTGACCATTTTGAATAGTCAAGAGACAATTTAATTTGAGACCAAAGGAGTAATAAATAAAAGTAGATGTATTATACATTTGTCACTTTAGAAAATAAATATTCAGGAGCATAATCCACGTATTATATGTACTCATTACAGTGAGCCGGCCGATCATCCGATGGCCACCCAGAGAAGAGACTTGTGATCGGCAAGTGGAAGGCGGAATGTTGTTCGTTCCCCTGTTAGCAAATCGGTGACATGAACATAATAATGAGTACACTTGTGACGCGACCTCACCCCCAGCCTGGACCATTCCATACTCTGAACGAGCCTGTAAATCTCCAGACCCCTTCTTCCTCCCTTGGCGGCAGCAGCAGCAGCGACAACAACCGGCTGTCCATTGCACAGATACCAAGCCGTGCCCATCACTGCGCCGCGGCTCAGCCTCTCCCACGAGGAGGAGGACTCACCGTTGTACTTGTGCACCAGAACAAATGACTTGTGTTTCCTCTCCACACTCTTGCCGTGCCCCAATAAAACCAACTCCCCCCCCCCCCCTCCATGCTCTGCAATGAAACCTCCACAGGGTACCGGCGGTAAAACCCTCATTGAGTTGTTAGCCACGTTGAAAATTGATATGTAGCCGTAAGGGTCTTGGCAATACACGTTGTCTCCGATCGTGACATGGATAAAGTTTGTTAGAAACGTCCTCTCCAATCCGGTATAGTTATGGCTGGCCCACACTTCATCCCCTGGACACGCCGTATGGATACTTGCCTGAAAAGGAAGTTCTGGGGTGATGAGGATGACACGGTTAGGATAACCATCGGAGTCGCATAGTGTAAATGAGCCATAACACTTTGTGTTTTTGTTGCCTCCTCTCTTTGGCAATTCAATTTTATCCCTCGTGAAAGGGTTCACCAGAAGCAAAGCAGGAAGCCCTGCCATGCCAACGCTGCCGTTTTGGTGCAGGAGAAGAATCCAGCCTCCTTTTGAGAATAGGAGTGTAGAATGAGCGAATTCAGGCATGTCGACCTGGAACTTACGATTCCCGTCGGGGACACAGATGAATTCCCGTGAATGGCTTTCTTTTCCATATTTCACATGCCAAATCCAGGGCACCCCGTCCCCGACCGAATGCATGTTTTTGGGATACCGCAACGACGTGGACCGCCAATCTCTACACACAGCAGTGAGGCGTTTGTTGTCAAATATGTCTAGTCTATCCATTATCATCAGTAGGGGAAGCGCCGGGAGGGACGACCAATCCCCTTGCTGTTTTCTGCCATTCACCCTCATGAAATGTGCTTCAACAGGTGAATCCAAGACGTATGGCAGTGGCTTAGAAGGAACTGCATGCTTAGCCAGTCTGCGAAGCGGCAAGCCTGATGGAAAATGTAGAAAAAAATCAGGTTCCAAAATCCAGAAGACTGCTCTAGAGAAAGAGCTCAATATGCATAAATATCAAGATTCAAAGGACATGTTTCTTACCTCTAAAATAGAAATACTTTCGATTGAGACTGGGTTGCAAAACCCATCCGTAATTTTCAGCAGAACCAAATGCAAAAAAGATTCCTGGCTCCTGATTAACCATTTTAATATTTGTGAGAACAATGTGTAATCTCGCGAGTACACCACGGAAAACATTGCATAAAGAGTTCATAACAAAAATGACTAGCAGATCTTTATTACGGAGTACATTGTTTCAATTATTTGCATATAACATAAGTTCACGAGTCATAGTTTTTCCCAGTTAAAATGAAGGCCTGAGAAGAAAAGACAAGGTCTAAAAATAACATTTTTTTTCCCAGTGTGCCATGAGTAGTATAAATCAACAGTTAAGCAGGCCCCCATGAGTGATAAGGAATCTCCATAGACTTAAAGAAAATCCTTGCAGAGTCAAAAAATTGTGATAGGAAATCACAGTTAAGAAAGTTCTTTTTTCTTTTTGGTAGTCGAGTCTTACCTCTATTATTTTCACAAGAATCTTGAAGTTCATTCTCCCACCTGTAACATATCCCATGGTCAGATGTGAAGATTGAATGTTCAAAATAACATAAGAGAGATAACAAACACTAAATCAATATCATCAATTGACTCCTCACTACATCTGCTAGAAGCAAGATCAAGAGAATAACAATCCAAACTCCAAGGAAGCAAAATGGAAAAAGAAAATAACTACTTTTAAAATGCAGAGTAGAAGAGAAAGTTTAGCAACCAAACTATGTAATACTTCCTCCATCCACTTTGATTCTTCCCAGTTTGACGTTGATGGTCAACGTTTTTAAACTTTGATTACAAATTACGGAAGCAATACATTGAATTGTGCTCTAAATTTAATATCAAAAAAATTAATATTATATCAAATTACGGAAACAATACATTGATGGACTTGTTAGCTACCAATTCAGCGATTGATCTTTAAAGCAGATGGGACATTGAACTAGTGATGAGGTCATTCCTAAGCCGACCGAATAGACTCCCTGAGGACGGAAGCCGGGATGCAGGAAGAGACGAGATTGATTTGACTTTGCTACTTATCTTCTCCTACAAATCTTGGGTGTATTAGTCAAGACAATGGAGAAATATAGGGTGATGTTAACCTTAGGATTCAAGCCGGTTGGTCAAATGGTGGAGTGCTTTGGGCTTTACATGTGACAAAAAAAGTGCCTTTAAAACTAAATGGAAAATGTTACCTTACTGCGATTAGAGTGTTGGGCAGCAAAGTGTGAACATGAACACAAGGCTAGTGTGGCTGAAATGAAGATGCTTCAATGAATGAGCGGTCATACACGTATGGATAGAATAAGGAATGAAGATATAAGAGTAAAGTTGGAGTGGCACCTATTGTAGAAAAGATGGTGGAAACTCATCTTAGATGGTTTAAACATGTAGACAAGACCAATAAAACACCTGGTGAGAAGGGTTGATCAAACGGTGAATAAACAAATGGCTAGAGAAAGAGGTAGACCTAAGAAGACTTGGCATGAAGTAGTCGGGACGGGGGGGGGGGGTTNCATGATAGTCGCAATGGAGTCATTTGATCCATGTAGCCGATCCCACCTAGTGGGATAAGGCTTTGTTGTTGTTGTTGTATTTGTTGTCCTTACTAGAATAGAATTCTTTTGACTTAATATTTTTTTTACTACGATTAGGATTGCTATTCTATAAATTGGTCTTTTATTTTTAATTGAGACATCATTTTCTTCAATTAAATCTAAAGGTTTGTTTTCTCTTAATTTGCTGCCTTAAGATCGAGGATTAACATCTATCAAGTTTAGCTTGAAAATTTCCTAGTATAAGGACATTTGTTCCGTCTAGTTTAGCTAGAAAATCCTCTTTGTTGATTTTGTGGTTAAGACCCTCTTTATTAGACATCACTGATTCACAGTCTGTATCAACTAGCAAAAGGATCGAGTCCCTGGTTCAACCAGTGGGTCCATGGATGGACCACCGGATCCACAACTAATAAATATATGTCCTGGAATCTATTAATACTCCCTCCATCCCAATGTCTTCGCCACGTTGGACTTTTTGTTTGGACTAAATCGATGTTTTTGTGTTGGTATGTTTACATGTTTTGACCTGGACAACTGAAGAGCCCATTTTGAAACTATGACATCAAAGTCAGCTACTCTAGGAGCAACAATTAAGAACACATCTAAATTTCATCAACTACTGTAACCACAAGAAGTTTCAAGCAATTAAAGGAGCAAATACAGCAACGAGAGATGACAAATTTTACCTTTACCCATAGTTATTAATGGCGAGTGTCAAGGGGCGGGCGAGAGGACCTTTTTTATGGCGAGAGGCGGGCGGTCAAATGGCGAACATGCATGCATGCATACATACATACATATACACACGCACACACACACATATGTATGTATCTATAAACACATAATATTGTGTGTGTGTGTGTGTGTGTGTGTGTGTGTGGAGTAATATATAGGAATAAATATTATGCATTGTAGAAGAAGCAAAATAGGATAGACATGGAACTGCGGAAGAGTTATGGTCTGATATGGTAGATATTATTAGAAAGGTGGCAAAAGAAACCCTTGGAGAAACTAAAGGTACTAATGCAAGAGACAAAGAATCATGGTGGTGGGACACTAGTGTGCAAGAGAAGGTAAAGATAAAGCGGGAGTTTCAAGGAGTGGTCTTTATATCAAAAATCGGAATGCGGAAAGTTGGAAAAAGTATAAGACAGCTAAGACGGAGACAAAAGTGGCTGTAAGTGAAGCAAAAATGAGAGCGTATGAAGGGTTTTACCAGTCCTTGGGTATGAAAGAAGGGGAAAGATGTATTTACAAGATTGAAAAGGGCCAAGAAAGAAAGATGCGGGATTTGGACCAAGTAAAGTGCATTAAAGATAAGAATGGTGAAGTTTTGGTTTCCGATGAAAGCATAAACGACCGGTGGAAGAGATACTTCAATGATATATTTAATGAGGAGCATGTGAATCTCTCATGCTCCGATCGGTTACACACGAGGGAGGAGGACCATAATTTCAATTATTATCGAAGAATTCAAGAAACTGAAGTTAAGGAAACCCTAAAACAAATGAAGAATAGCAGAGAGTGGCCCAAACAACATTCAGATTGAAGTTTGGAAAGGTTTAGGAAGAAAAGGTATTTGGTGGCTAACTAAGCTTTTTAACGAGATTTTAAGATCTAAGAAGATGCTTAATGAATGGAGGAAGAGCATTTTGGCTCTTATTTACAAGAATAAGGGAGATATTTAGAGTTATGGAAACTAGAGAGGGATCAAACTTATGAGTCATGCGATGAAGTTATGGGAAAGACTGAAAGAGTGGTTGAACGGAGGTTGAGACAAGAGACTTTGGTGGTAGAAAACCATTTTGGTTATATGCTAGGAAGATCGACTACAGAGGCTATATACTTGGTGAGAGGAATGATGAAGAGGTACCGAAGTGAAAAGAAAGATCTACACATGGCTTTTATTGATTTGGAAAAGGCATATGACATGGGTACCAAGAGAGGTTTTGTGGAAGGTGCTAGAGAAAAAAAGGAGTAAGGATTGCTTATATTCGTGCGATTAAAAACATGTACGATGGTTCTTGAACGAGCGTGAGAAGTCAAATTGGGATAACAGGGGAATTCCCTATCGGTGTAAGATTACACCAAGGGTCATCATTAAGCCCATATCTTTTTACACTAGTATTACACGCTCTTATCGAGAGGGGATAACTCTAACAAATGTCTATAGAAGAATCTCAATCCATCACCAATTATCATGACAAATGTCTATAGAAGACAATCTCAATCCATCACCAATTATCATGTCTGATGAGAATCAAACAAATTGTGCTCTTTGAAACAGTTTGTCCAAATTATGACTTGAGCGAACTACGAATTAAAATAATTAACAATGAAGGATAAAGGGAACCAACAAAGTAAGGTTTTTGGTGCTTTGAACCAGCCTTCTACAGCTCATTATGACAAGTACAGAACAGATGGTGAAGGACTAAGGCATAGAACGGCATAAAAAAATCTAAGGCTGAAGATAGAGCCCACAAACAAGCCAAAGCGCTCGAGAGCTGACTTGGTCGAAGCGGGTGCCAAAAGATTTGAGTTGGACACATATTTACGCTTGTTGTATTAACCCAGTCAGCCCGAACGGGGCAAAGCTCGGCTCATGAGCTCTAGAGCACACTCATTAATAATAATTAATTGCATATAGGCTCCGTTTGGCATCAGCGTCAGAGATTAGCGTTAGCGTTTTGAAAAAGTTATTCGACGGTAGCCTTTAGCGTTAGAGTTTTAAGAATTAATCTGCACCGTTAAAATTTTATCCAAAACGCTAAAGCTAATCGAAAACGCTGTTACCAAACAAAGCCATATTCTATATCAATATAATTATGTGTGATGTAAAATAAATTGTTTTTGTAATAAACAATTATTATATTACATCATATTAACATTTTTCAGGTTGATTTCTTATAGCTAGGTCATTGTTCTTAGGGCCCTCTCGAGCCCCAAGAGGCTTGACTTCAAGATCTCTCATCTCTATTCACTAGCCTTCTATCTTCTAAATATTGTCCATAATGTATTAAATTAACCATTCTGACAGTCAAAAACATCCTAGTCCTCTCCAAGAAGATCTATATATCCTCACTAAAACAGATTTCGAAACAAAAAAAAAGAAATTACTTGGCAACTGATTACTAATAAGAGGCAGCAAAAGAAGCACCTTTTGGTGCCACCCAACAGTGATAGAACAATAAAGATGTGATTTTTCGAGCTTAGAAGGCTCTCCCAAATCTAAATACAAATTGACATGGAATTTTTACAGGGAGAGAGATTAGACATACCTGAGGAGGAACCCAAATCTTCTCTATACTCATGGGAAGCTTCACCGATCTTCTGCTTCTTGTTTTGATGGGTTTTCGCCGAAGTTTCCATCGCAGACGACGCCGGAAAGACTGTTCTTTTCACACCCAGTAATTTAAATAAACAAATTTATCAATTCTAACAAGAGATAAATCACTCGCCTTGAAACTCCGGTGAATCCCCGGTGATGCTTACCGGTCTGGTTTCACTAATAAATTGGGAAGAAAACTCCGGCGATCTCGGACGGCGGCGGCCCAGCGGCTCTTCTCGGACGGCAACAAAGAACTGATTTGGCGAGGAAGGTGCGGCTCAATTATAAAGGGCTTGGGTATCCTCAATTAGGATTTAGGAACTCCTTATGGTTTTAGGATTTGAAGGAAAGAGGGAGTTACCATTCTAATATTTTTATTAATATTATTTTTTTAAAATTTTTTATGTTTATTTAATGAACTATAATTTCACTTATAATACTTCACACGAAATTTTAAACTTAACAAACAACATGTTGTTGATTACTTTTTCACGAGACCTATCTAAAAACTCAAATTCCGTTGGATAATACTATGTTTAAGTTATATTTTTATTTTATTCATTTACATTTTAATCTTTTCGGTGTCGGACAATCAAACCCCTAACCTTCGCAACTCAGATTCACACGCGGGACATGTTGTTGAATTCGTTTTGTCGAGACTTTCAATTTGAGCATAAACTTGGACGATTAAAAGAATATTTTAAAATATCTTATTTAGCTTTTCGTTTGGACATTTATTTAATTTAAATGAAAATTAAAATTACGATTTATTAAAAATTTGTTATAAAGTTCTAGGGTATATTTCGAGACGTTACAACTTCTTACGTTCCTAATTTGTAATGAGTTACGAGAAAAAAAATCTTTTCACTTTTGAAATTATTTTATTTATAAATTGATATATCAATAAAAAATAAAAATTACATATTAAAAGACCACGTCAAAAGTTCTACAAAATGAGAGATCACAAAAATATTTTATTTTATCAAATATTTAATACAAATACATTAATAAACAAAAATTATCGAGAGAAAGGAAAAAAAGATTTTAATCTATTTCGAGACAGAGAAAGTATTATATTTTAGTTACTTCACCGTCAAGAAATAATCTTTTCATTCTAATTCGTCCGGAAATAATTTTTTCCCATTGATTATTTTTCATAAAAAATTAGGAAATATGGACTGACCCACGTATTATTTCTCTTCAAAAACTCCTTCACTTTTTTGAGAACTTTGTAAGACCTCTCACAGATTCGCCATGTGTAATCTTTGCATTTTTAGGAATATATAATTTTAGTCAGTGGATTAGTTTGGATTTGATCCACGAAAGAAGTAATTGATAAACTTAGGAATTGTAAAATCACTTCTAGACTAAACTTATTTTGTATAAATCAAAATATTTTAATTAGATAAGACGTGAACGCTAAAGAACAAGTATAAATGCTTCTTAGAAAAAGTCTATAGTCACGTAGATGTATTTTTCTTTGTTGTATAAATGTACATCATAGATCATAATTTTTAAAAATTAAGCATCACTTCTTTTGGATTTAAAAAAACACAGTTAAATAATGGACAAAATTGAAAGATTTTGAAAACAATTTGAAGGAGGTAGATGAAAGTAGGAACCATAATAACTTGGCAATCTCATTATGACAAGTACAGAACAAATGGTGAAGGATTGAGGCATATAACGCCATAAAAATTTCTAATGCTGAAGATAGAGCCCACAAACAAGCCAAAGCGATCGAGAGCTGACTTGGTCGAAGCTTGGACTGTGTGCCAGAATATTTGAGTTGGACACATATTTACGCTTGTTGTATTAACCGAGTCAAGCTCGGCTAATGAGCACTAGAGCAGACTCATTAATAATAATAATAATAATAATAATAATAATAATTAATTGCATATATTCTATATCAATATAATTATTTGTAATGTAAAATAAATTATTTTTGTAATAAACAATTATTATATTACATTATATCATATTAACATTTTTCAGGTTGATTTCTTATAGCTAGGTCATTGTTCTTAGAGCCCTCTCGAGCCCCAGAAACTTTAGTTCAAATACTGTCTATAATGTATTGGATTAACCATTCTCACATTCAAAAACATCCTAGTCTCCTCCAAGAAGATCTATGTATCCCCACTAAAACAGATTTCGAAGCAAAAAAACAAAAAACAATCACTTGACAACTGATTACTAATAAAATGCAGCAAAAGAAGCGCCTTTTGGTGCCACCCAACAGTGATAGAATAATAAAGATGCGATTTTTCGAGCTTAGAAGGCTCTCCCTAATATAAATACAAATTGACCCAAAATTTTTACATGGAGAGAAATTAGACATCAAATTAAACCCGAGAAACCCAAATCTTCTCTATCCTCATGGGAAGCTTCATCGATCTTCTACTTCTTGTTTTGATGGGTTTTTGCCGAAGCTTCCATCGCAGACGATGCCGGAAAGACTGTTCTTTTCACTTTTTTTGGTCTTTTCACTTTTTCTGGTTGACTCTTTTTCTCTGGGGGTTACTTTTTTCTTAGAGGTACGATAGATGTCGTTCTTTAGGGGTTACTAGTATATTTGAGCTTAGCAAACGAAAAATTGCCACACAATATACAATGAAACAATTAAGGAAATTGTAGGCAATTAAGGTAAATCAAAGAACGATATCAAATTAATATGAATGAAAAAATGGGGATGAATGAAAATGAATTTCGAATATAGGAAGCATACTTTTTAACAACAAATCTTGTAAATTGCCATGTTGAATCTCCGTTCTTAATTTGGAATATCAACTTATTTTAAATATGAATTAAGAAAGAAGATTGAGAGGGCATATTGAGTTTCCTTCTGTGAAGAAGAGAAGTCTGAACACAGAGGTTCTAAATTCAAGAGTTTGGTGGAGAAGGCAGGACAGCCAAATTTAAGTCTTTCCTTTGGCAAATCAGCAAAGAAGAGAAAACATACCCGAAGTAATAGTGAGAGCAGATTCTTCGGAAATTTTTTTGGTGGAGAAGACCGTAGAAATGGCAAAATAGAAATCTTTCTCAAAATGACAAAATAGAAATCTTTCTCAGGATCCTTTTGGCAAGAGTAGTAGCGAAAAAGTTTTCCAGCCAAAGATTTGGGCGAAAAGATTTCCTTTAATTTCCTTCATTGAAAAACTGCATCAGGAAGAAGATTTTTAGGAAGAAAGGGGATTTTTTCCTTTTGCATCGCGGCTGTGAATTTGCTTTTCGGAAGTTTCGGTTACTTAAACCAAGTAGAGACACGTGTACGCTAACTTGTAAAAAAAATAGATCTCTAAAATTACCACATGTCAATAATCTAAGCATGAAACTCCCAAATTTTATATATAAGGATTTATAGCTTTTACTCGATTTAGAATTTTGACCCAATAAAATATGCACTAATATCCTTTATATATATAAATGAGACTCGGAGCTCTAAGAATATGACATTTGGCATATTCAAATCTTGACATGTGGCGCATTAGGAACTTGACATGTGGCATATTAGGTGGTAATTTAACTAAATTTACTCTCTTTCATTATTTCACATTTTTTCTCTTTTTTCAAAAATGATATGGAGTAATTATTTATTTTGAACCCATGAATTCAAATTTAGAATTAAAATTATTTTCTATGTAAATTATAACTTTTAATAAAATATCATTTTTTCAGGACTCTACGTACAAATATTTTTAATACGTGTCTCGAATTCGTTAAATCATAAAATTTTCAAAAAATTTTTATACTAATAAATAAAATACACTCATCACCCATAAATAAATATTATATTTATATATTATACATTTACATGATATTCCTTTGACTGTATTTATTTAAATATTGACACCTACTAAATAAAATACTTCCTTTACCTATGAATAAATTTTATATTTTTATGACACTTAAGGTATCACTTAATTTAAGATATAGAAAATGTGAATTCAAGGTTTTGGCATAAAATCTTTGAATAAGTTTAATTGTTTAAGAGAAACATTCATTTATAAATGCTCTTTCCGATGCCTTAAAATATTTTTTACTCGCTTCATTTATAAAAACAAATTGATTAATAAATAAGATGATTTTTCACATTTAAATAATTTTCATACAAGTATTAGTTTATAATATTTTAAAATGAAATTAGTTTTGATTCTATTTATTTCAATAACAATGTAAAATAATAAATGATTTTTTTAAATAATAAACAAAGATTTCTTTTCATAAATAAATAATATACGACGTATTATGAATTTGTTTATGATACCTTTAAATGAAGTTAGTTTGATTATATTTATTTAAGTATTGACACCTACTAAATTAATACTTTCTTCTCCTATTATGAAATTTCTTATTTTTTAACACATTATAAATCATCAAAGAAAAATTAAAAATTCGTTCTACCCGTGTCAAATACTAGTTGTTTTAGATAATACGGAGTAAAAATAAGTATTCTCACGTTTCAAAAAAATTAACCATTCTTATTATAAGAACTTCCTACATTCCTAATTTGTAATGAGTTGCGAGAAAAAAAATCTTTCCTCTTTTGAAATTATTTTATTTATAAATTGATATATCAATAAAAAAATAAAAATTACATATTAAAAGACCACGTCAAAAGTTCTACAAAATGAGAGATCACAATAATATTTTATTTTATCAAATATTCAACAAAAAAACACTAATAAACAAAAATTATCGAGAGAAATAAGAAAAAAAGATTGTAATCTATTTCAAAACAGAAAAAGTATTACGGAGTATATTTTAGTTACTTCCACCGTTAAGAAATATTCTTTTCATTCTACATTTTTTTCGTCCGGAAATAGTTTTCCCATTGATGGTGTAAATTATCTCGACAGATATATCGTTCTTAGCCGGACAACAACGATAAACTAGTCTAACAAAATACACCAAAATACAAATGCGGGGATTTTGACGTGGAAACCAAAACGTGGGAAAACTACGAATCTTTTTTTCGATACCTTGCCAATGGGATTTTAATTGATATCGGGGGTTGTACACGGTACATGATTTAGGCTCTGAAGCCATTAATGGAAGCTTGAAACTTTTTTAATAAGAAAATACAAGCTCTAAACATGCCCAATTTGATCATTTTTCATAAAAAATTAGGAAATATGGACTAGCCCACGTATTATTTCTAATCAAAAAGTGTTACACTTTTTTTGAGAACTTTGTAATAAGATCTATCACATATTCACCATGTATCATCTTTGCATTGTTTAGGAATATATAATTTTAGTCACCGTTGGAGTATCAGTTTGGATTTGTTCCATGAAAGAAGTACTTGATAAACTTACGAATCATAAAAAAATCACTTCTAGACTAAACTTATTTAGTATAAACCAAAATACTTTAATTGGATAAGACTTAGGGACTGTTTGGCAACTTCTGAATAGGTAAGTGTTGAACCAGTAAGAAGTTTGAACCATTAAATGCTGAATCAGTAAGAGGTCTGAACCATTAAGAGCTAGTATATTGCTTAACTATTCAGAGGCAAATGTCTTATCAATTCAGATAAGAGGTCTTAACCATTCAGACTCTGTATTATACTTAACCATTCAGAGGCAAATGTCTTAATCATGCAGACATCTGAACCATTAAGAGGCTAAAACAAACAGTCTGAACCATTAAGTGCTGAACCATTGAGACATCTGAACCATTAAGAGGCTGAAACAAACAGCCCCTTAAACACTAAAGAACGAGTATAAAGGCTTCTTAGAAAAAGTTCATAGTCTTGTAGATGTATTCTGGTTTGTTGTATAAATGTACATTATAGATCATATTTTCTTAATTTTTTAAAATAAAGCATCTCTTCTTCTGGATTTAAAAAACAGAGTTAAATGATGGACAAAATTTAAAGACTTTGAAATCAATTTGAAGGAGGTAGAAGAAAGTAGGAACCATAATAACTTGGCAAGCTCATTATGACAAGTACAGAACTTCCTACGTTCTTAATTTGTAACGGGTTAGGAGACAAGGTATCTTGTCTTCTGAAATCATTTTATTTATAAATTGATATATCAATAAAAAATAAAAAATATATATTAAAAGACTATGCAAAAAGTTTTTACAAGACGTGAGGTGACATGAATATTTTATTTTATCAAATATTTAACAAAAATACATTAATAGAAAAAAGTTATCGAGAGAAAAAGAAAAACAAATTGTAATCTATTTTGAGAAAAATGGAGCACTCGATTTGTAAATCGTAAAGAATATTCAAAGCTGATAAGACCTGATTCAAGTTCTTACTTATGACGTGCAAATCAAAAGTCAATTTAATTAAAGATCAAAATTAAGTTACATTGCTCTTGATATACAAATTAAACGAGAACATCATGAAATATATAACCATCTTAAAAAAAAGTTGATGTATTTCTCCTAATAAGAGCAAGAAAAAATACAAGAAATTTGTAATTAGTTTATTAGAAACCAAAACATAAGTAACAAGAAAATTCAAATTTATAACTAGGAAATATTCTCTTTTGATCTCAAGGGAAAAATATGACATAGCCAACTAATTTACCCAGAGTTTGAATTGGCGAAATCGAAGTGGGACCCGGTCAACATCATGACCTTAAACTCGTCGAAATCGATCATCCCGTCGCCGTCGCGGTCGACGCCGCTGATCATTTTCCGGCACTCCGCGAGAGAGCATTCCTCGCCGATGCTCCGCAAGACGTTCTGCAGCTCCTCCGCGGAGATCGATCCGTTCTTGTCGGCGTCAAACACGGAGAAGGCGTCCCGGAGGTTCTCCATCACCTCGTCGGCGCCGACGTCTTTTGTGTTCAGCTCGATGAACTCCCGGAGATCGATGAACCCGTCGCCGTCGGCGTCCACCTCCCGGATCATGGCGTCCACCTCCTCCTCCGCCGCCGCGTGGCCGAGGCTGGACATGATCGACCCGAGCTCCGACGACGAGATATTCCCGTCGCCGTTCGCGTCGAACTTCTTGAACACCTGCTCCAGCTCCTCCTCCACGCGCGCCCGGCTGCGGAACGACGACATTCTCGGGGTTGCGGCCTCCGTCGTGGCCTGATCGCCGCCGCCGCTCGCCAGCCGCTTCTTCTTGCAGAACAAAGATTTCAACCCCATTGTTTGATTTTATTATTGAAATTATTTTGGACGATTTAAGATTGGAAACTCCGGAATGGAATTGAAAGAAAATTAATCTGGGAGATTATATTTTTAAGGAAGGTAAATTGTTCATATAATCCTTATTTAGAAATTAATTTCATAAAATACGGAGTAATAAATGAATGGGTGCATGATAATCTGATCCCTTGCAATAATGACTTGCATTCTGACTTTATAAACTTAATTATTACCTAAATAAAACTTTTTACCTTGAATAAGAATAAAATACTCCCTCCGTCCTATAATGATCTTTCCAGAGCATTATTCCAACTTCACAAGAATTTTTATTTATTTGTGTTTTTTATAGCCTATATGATAAAATAAAATATTCTTGTCACCACTTGTTTTGTTGAACTTTTGGTGTAGTTTTTTAAATATGTATGTTTTATTTTTTATTTCTATACCAATATTTAAATAAAATAGATTGAAAAAACTTGGGATTTTTCTTCGTTTTGCGAACCGAGAAGATCATTATAGGACGGAGGGAGTACTCAGTAAATATTTATCTTCAAAATGGAAATTTGCCATATGTCATTATATAGTGGGTAGCAACATTTTATTGTATTTTTCAATTTTTCGTACTATATATTGTTATTGTACAAATATTTTGAAATAAAAAAAATTAAATTTTTACGGAGTATTTTAGTACTTGTTACATGTTTTATATTACTTCTAGTTTGATCCATTTCTCTTAAGTACGTTTTTAGTCTCCCTAAAAGAATAATTTTTTATTTTTGGTCTCGAATTTTTTTTATTTAAATCATCCTTATAAGTAGGGGCAAGGCCAAGAGATTTCTTTTATACTCCATTTGTTCTATAAAATCTTTATATTTGAAAAAACATCTGTCTTTAAATATCACTTTATCTAATTAATATACAATATATTTTTTATTTGATCATATATAAGTCAAGTACTTTATATATAATATTTGAAACTCGGGCTCATAGAATGTCGACACGTGGCAAGTCTACTTGACAATTTTTTATGAGTCATCCGCCACCTTTGAAGACTTTAATGACTTGGCACTTTTATATTAAAATATAGAAAGATCCTATTCTATCTAATATGCCTAATATATACCTTATAGGACGACTAGAATATAATTACAAAGTAGAAAAATAAGAAGATAATTAGGATGAGTAATTTTTAAATTTTTTTCTAATGTATTTTGATTAATTATAATGAGTGCAATGTAAAAAAACATTATAGTTCTTTCTATTGATAATATATGTTTATATTACGTTGTAAATCCTTTATTTATAAAATTGATATTTTAATCTTTAAGAAGCTGAGATGTGATGTTGTTTACGAGACATTTCTGATACGTAAAATATATTATAGAAAGTAAGAAGTTATGAAGTCATTTTGTACAATTAATTATGGAAGAGAATAGAGATATTCGTTTTTATAATAATTTATTTTCTAATTATGCATATTTTTCTATTCAATTGTTACAAAACTTTTAAAGGTGTGTTTGGTGAGCAAGAAAATATGAGTTTTAATATCTCTAGATATCATAATCCTCTTCTGGTATTTGGTGAAGCCAAAAGAGTTATCAAATTTAATATCTCCAGATATCATAAATCTTTAAAATGGATGGTTTCAATACCTCCCGAATTTGGGAAATATCAACATGGGGATTTGATATCTCTCTCAACTGTTGATTATTCTTCGCCACTTGCTACCATTTCACTGCCAACCACTCTTGTTGTCAGTCATCCTTGCTTATCACTAATTAAATCTTGAAATTTAATCTCTCCAAATAAAATCATTTTATATTCTCTGAGTTTTCATAACCCACATCTTATAATATCTACAAATTTCACCAAATTGGCCATAAGTAATTAATCAGGTATTTCTTCACTTCTAAATAAATTTCATATTTTTTATGATATATTTAAATCGAAGCAGTCAATTTGATTATATTTATTAAAATATTCATGTAAGTTAATAAACCAAAAAATTCTTTTAAAACTACAATGAAACTTTATAAAACATGAAAAGATTAGAAAATAAATTGTTAAAGCAAGTAAAATATATTAGATATTATTTGGTAATTTGATTATATTAATTTCATGGTTTGATATAATTACTTAAAAGATTATGGCTAATAGTTCTAAAATAATTTATGATTAATTTACAGATATTTTATTTTATTATTATTTATTATGATATTTTTAAGGGTTAAATGTATTTTTAGTCCCTTAAAAATAGGTGAGTTTTGTTTTTGGTCCCTGAAATATAATTTTTGATTAAGTCATCCTTACAAAAAAATGTATTTTGATAATGATCTTTATACGTAATAAAGACTTTTAAGTTGTTGACATAACATATTTATTTTGTACTCAATAGCTTAGTTTTAGATTTGCAATTACTTCAGACACAATTTTGATGTCAATAATTGTGTCTTTTATCAAATTTCATTTCCAATTCTCAAATTTTGATTATATTATATTCGTAAGAAATTTGAGAGCCGGATATATGTAATATGAATAAGTACACAAATTAGGGTTTATAAATTACATCGGATGTAATTAGAAATACATGACTAATATGTTGAGTATGAAATAAGTGTACTATCTCATCTAATTAGAAGTGCTAATTACGTTAAGGACTATTTTTAAATTAAAATATTTTGTCGGGGTGATTTTATCAAAAAATATTTTATAGGGACTAAAACAAATTCTTATTTTATAGGGTATAAAAACATATTTTAACCTATTTTTATTATATTATAAAATAAAAATGATTAAAACAAAATATATTGTTGGGACTTATTATATTACACTAACATTATTTATGATTTTATTATCATTGAGTACTTTTAATTAAGAAAGAGAGATATTTATTTTTCATTAGAATATTGTTTTAAATTTTTATTTTTTCATTTCATTTATAATAATACTTTCAATGAATATATAAACTACTCTCTTCATCTTTAAAAACTTTTCATATTTCTTTATGTTCTGATTAAAGGAAGTTAGTTTTATTCTATTTATTTAAATATTGATGTAAAATAACAAATACTTCTTAATCCCTATATTAAAATTCTATATATTAAGATATGACTCAATTATTTTTTTAAATGATCAAGTATTTAAGCCAATTTACTTAGCAGGAATATTTAATTTGACTTTTGTACTTTATCTTGCTAATTTCAGTAAATTTGACCTATTATTTTAATCAAAGAAAGTTTACACTGCAACTTTCCATTTTTAAGATGTAACCTAACATTTATAAATTTATATTGGGTTATAATTCACTATATCGATGCATGAAAATAAAAAAAGACAGATGAAGTATGACTCGATTTTCTTTTCTTCATTTTCGCAATCATACAAAGAAATTTAACAAAATGATATTCTTAGAGATAAAGCGACATAACATAAGATCTGGAGGCCGAGAAACGCGTGAAGATCTTTGAAAATTAAAATTTAGATGCAATGATAATCAATAATTTAAGGATAACTACGAAGAAGATCTAATGTGTAGAACTGAATAAGCTTTAGGCTCAGCTACAACATCAAAGAGAAATATAATTTTAATATTGTAACTCTTTGTATTTTATAAAACATTATGTATTGACCAAAATACTTTCACACACTTAAATGATTTTATATTTAAAAAAGAAAGCAAAAGATGAGTAAAAATTGTGAAATAGTTTTTGTGAAATTTTCATTAAAATCATAGAATCCATAATGTTTTTTATTGCGTTCACATAATTTTTGAAATAATACGAGGGAGAATAATCATTATACTTTTAATGTATTGTAAATTTATATTTCTTATCATATGATTGTTAATTTATGTTTTCATACTTTTAATAATACAAGAAAAAGGAGTCAATTTTTAATAAGTGCAAAGGGCCAAGGAGAGGAAGAATCACATTAATGCGTCATAGAAATTAAAGTCATATATTTCTGTTAATGTAGATTAATCTGGCGGAGAAAAATCGTGATTTTTTAATATTAAAATTACAGGATCGGAAATCTAAATTTGTTAAATAAATGCGGGGGAGAAGAATAATAAAATCACCAATGTTTTTGTCGTATATTTTTTTTAATTAAGAGGTGAGAAGAATTATATATTTGTAATAATTTAGTAAACCTAGATTTTATATATTTATATATATATATATATATGAAATTTAAATGGTATATAACATAAAAAAATCAAATTGTTTAAATATTTGATATTGTAGAATAAAAAACAATTTCGTTCCACCCGTGCATGACACGGGTTAAAATGCTAGTATTAAAAATGATTGACTTAAAAAATTAAAATTTGACAAATAATGCAGCAGAGGTAGTAATTACTCCCTCCGCTAAACCATTCCTATTTTGACTTTGGGCCAAAATAATGAAAGTGTATTTTTGGTTGACTTTCCAATTTTGCCCCTAATTTAATAGGTAAAAGTAAGATGTGATAGATAGAGTATGAAAAAGTAAGGATAAAAGTGATTTTTTAATAGAAAATGGAAGTGTTTTAGGAAATTGGAAAAAAATAAAAGAGATAGGGTTTAAATGTTTAATGGAAGGGAGAGAGTAATTATTACTCGGTATTATTGTATTAACATAGGGAATAGTATATACGGAGTAAGTAGGTTCGTTATTTATATTATTGCATAATACGCCCTCATTACAATGAGTGTCCTGTGCCTTTTATTATTACCACTTTATATTTAATTTAACTTCACTTTTCTTCTTTAAAAAGATGTATTACTTCCTCCATTTCACAAAATCCTTCCTCTTTCGTTTTTTTGTTTTCCACAAAACACTTTCACTTTCTATTAAAAAACCACTTTTACTCCTACTTTTTCATACCCTACCTATCACATCATACTTTTTCATTAATAACCAAAGTATCTCATCTTACATTTTCCCATCACATCAGGGGCAAAATTGGAAAGTCAACCAAAATTACACTTTCCTTATTTTTCACCAAAGTCAAAACTGGAAGGGTTTTGTGGAACGGAGGGAGTATATCATTACCACTTTATATATTATGTCAGATAATGTTAAGGTCTATTTGAGAATAACGCTAGAGATTAGCGTTAGCGTTTTGAAAAGGTTATCTACAAGCAATGTTTAGCGTTAGCTTTTTCAAAATAACTTGCACCGTTAAGATTTTATCAAAACGCTCAC